AAACATGATGATACCATCCCAGTATGTGAGCTGTTTGAAGCTGCGTCTTTTGGCATTTTAGACTACTCAGGCAGAAAAGCCCCTTCATTCTATGATCTGGTCACACCACCAGATGTGGACAAAGTGAAGACCAGGTACTGAAGCTTTGATGATGTCATTTGCTGAGATGTGTGAACTAAAAAGGCAGGTTTCCCAAACAGTTTTTAGACAGGGCTACTCCCATTGCTCTCACCACCTGTGGGGGAGACTTCCCTTATACTGAACAGGGATGGGGTGTGGAAATGTCTTTATTGTTCACAGGTTGGGTGGAGTGAGTTTCTATTGTTCTCAAGTGTGAGGAGAGGAACTTCAGCTGCTATCTGGTCAAAACATAGCTGGTTCCATTCGGTGTGCTTTCAATAAACTGCTGGGCTTATGTGGCACAAGCTGATAGCTACCAAGATTTCCTCTGGGGCCTCAAAAGCTGGCTGGCTGCACTGTTAGAGGCTCTGGCTTTACAGACTGAAGCTATGACACTGCTTCATGCTCCCAGCTCAGGAGATGGCTTATTTATCACACAATGCTCTGTATAGATGCATCCTTACTATTTTGCTTCCCAGCACTAAGCTTCCTGGCACCAGAGTACCTGCTCCTCCCTGCAATACTTGCCCACCTCTGCCTCTGTGTGCTCAAAGTAGTTTTCTGATTTATCCAGTGCTGTGATAACAGATGCTAGATGCAGGGGCTCCCCCAGACCCTTTCTGAAGGTTGACAGCTATGCAGAACTTCTGCCCAGTAAAGTCAGTTATCTGTGGCTAAAACATATCTGAAACAGGAATGCAGAAGGAGCAGTGGGAAAAAGTATTACAACACTGTGGTGATGATTGCAAATGCCATATTGACATTTTCTTTCCCATATTATTCTGAGGAAATGTTTGGAAATGAGTACCATCCACCCATGCTTGAGAAAGAAGCTTCAGGAACAGAACTGCCTGTGGCAGATCCTGACATAAATGCCTCCAACCCTACCATTACTTACCACCACAGCCAATATCTCCATTCTTGCGAGGCATGTAGAGGGAATCACCATCCAGCCTGAGGCTGATGCCCAGGGCATGAGCAAATTGCCTATTAAGAGCATGATGACTCCATCTCTTACAGAAAACGCATCCACCCAAGAGGAGCCTGTCAAGGCTGCAGCAGCATGCTGGTCATGTTTGCTCTTTTCTTGAGCAGCTATCCCAGTCTTGAATCTACCCACTGCTTTCCCAGGCAGAGTAACACTCAGGCATTATGTGCCTGGCCACAGAGAATACACCTGTGGCTACAGAAGACAACTGCACCAAGAAGGTGCAAGGGACAGCACCTCCCCAAAACCTGTTAAGGCATACACAAAGTGCAGCATTTCCTAAAGCTGGGTGGAACAGGAAAAGTTCCCTCCTTCCATCCAGACCAGAGAGAAGCTTCCACGATGGAAGCAGCACCACCCCCTATTTCCCAGGAGAAGCTACAGCCTGCCTAGGAGGCAAGGAAGGAGATTTCAGCAGTCAGAAGAGGAGTTGCCTGGCTGGAAAGACAGGAAATCTTTTCCTGATGGCCAATGGGAAAGCGCGCTGTCCTACAGAGACAATAACATCAGCCACAAGCAAAGCAGCTTTCCTCCCAAAAACAATTCATCAGGCCCTCATTTAAAACCCAAAGAACAAAAGGAAATCATACACCTTCCAAGGGATAATGTTGGTTGGTCACCCAATTCCTGGATGCAGGCAGTCTGCCAACCAAGCAGCAAAGGATCCTTGATAAACACCAGGAGCCGTCCATCTGAGGCAGAAACTCATCTGTGTGACTGGGAGAACCTAGACACTAGGCCTTTGTACTTTGAAAGATTACAGCTTCCTTGTCCAGCTCAGCATGAGCCAACCAGCAGAACACCACATGTTTCATAGTGAGGCAGGCACCATGATAGAAGACCATACTGCATTCATTGAGCTCCTCACTTAGTCAACATCCAGAGGGATAACCTTATGCTCAGAAGGAAAATGCACTTCGTCCAAGCGGCAATGCATAGGACAATGTTCCCTTCCTGTGCAGAAAACCCTCCAATCCTCCTGATTTGAGTCAGAGGCAGGAGAAGTTTTTTTGTGAAAATGACTGTTAGTTCAGTTGGACTTGACTCCTCTGTGCAGACATCATGGATGATGAGGCAGTTCTTATCATACCCTGAGCATAGCCCAGCCAACCTGTACGAAAATTCACAATATGTCCCTATTACTATCCATCTAGGGTTATTTCCAACACAAAAGAGACCACACATCAAACCAACAGGAGAATGTTCTGTATGATGAGTTCCATGGGCCCCAGAGGATCATTTTCCACCCTAAGGCATGCTCATTCCTAAGCCTTTGGAAAATAATCTGTATTATTCTAATGGGCCCCCACTGGGAAACTCTTTGGATGAGGAAACAGATTCTCTCACAACTCCAATCTGTTCTCAGTAAAGCAAATTGTAATATTCTGTGGGGCCATCCCAGGAGCAGGGCAACAGTTTGTTCACTGTGAGAAAAAAATATCCTCCATCCCAGAGGATACCCAATGGGGTTCAGAGGCAGCCCAGCGTACAGTAAACATTTAAACTCCCCATGCAGAGTTGACCCATTTCAGGTCTGAGTTCATGTGATCACTCTTTCCCCAGGCTCATTTGCTGTGTGGGGAATGACAGTAGTGCAGGATTGCCTGATTTCTCCCCACGTTCAAACTCTACACATATGAACAAAAACATCCTGAAGGCAGTCACTCTAAGCATGTCAGATGTGTTGCCTACCCAGCCTTCAGTCTAGCCAGAGGTGCTTGAACAAAACTCCAGGCCAGGTAAGGGTGGAGTGGTTTGGCGTCTTTGGTGAAGAAGCAACTAATCATGACAGCAGCATGCCATGCTCAAAAAGAGGCCTGAAGCCTGACCACATCCAACTAGATATGCCCATTGTGGGAACAATAGAAGCAGAGATGGTGGCCACATCACCCAGTGTTCTGGAAAAATTGAATGAGCTAACCAATTCAGTGAGAAAGCTTCTCCTGAGAAACAGGCTGAGGGAGCACTCACACTGGCCAAAGAAGGGCATGAGCCAGATGCAATCAGAAGTGCAAATCAGATTAATGAAATTGATCTGGCGGGACAGCAGGCAGCCCAAAGCTTCAGGAGAACATGGTGATTCAGCAGGTGGCTGAGGCAGCACCTGTCCAGCACTTGAGCACCATCTGGTGACAAGAAGAAAGGACAGGTTTCTGCCGATCTGGTATCTGCTGAGAATGTTTTTTCTCTGTGACTGGGATGCCGCTAAGGTGTCCAGAAGTCTGAGCACTGATACTACCATCATGGCTCTCTAGCAGGAGATGCGTCAAATAATCCAGGGGAAAGCAGCTCAGACTGTGTACTGCTACAAAACAGTAGTAATGCATGTCTTTAATTACCAAGCAAAGAGAAGATAGCCTAAGAAGCTAAATTGGCATACATGTAAGTTATTCTGCAATTCTTAGTATCATTAGAAATGGATGAGGATAGATGCTCTGCAGAAGAAAGGGCATCTGCCCAAAAGGTATGTGGGTCCACACCTACACTAGTCTGATAGCTTTTGACATGAGCAAATTCTCTCTTTGCATAACATTTCCCTCCCCTTCCAAATACATTGGGGCAGCTATTTTTTTAAAGCATCGATACCAGCTTTGTGTAAAGGACATGCCTACCTGGAATCACACGGTATGAGGCAGAAGTTTGCTGTCATGCTAGGATGTGCTCAGGCCTTTCTTTCTTAAATTTTACCAAAACAAAAAAAAATTTCATTCAGGGAAGCATATCATTCAGGTGGATGCCGAACAGATTTATTAAGCTATACACAGGACTTTTTCTCATTCCTTAGCTTTCTATTTAGCTTGGGAAACTCACACCCTGGAAGAGAGCCTCTGAGCACAGCATTTCTATACACAAGACTGGTCAGACCAGTCCATGGGGGGTCAATATCTGGCTGTCTGGCAGTGGTTTACGCAGGTCAGTCACAGTCAGAAAAGTGTGGTGGGAAGGAAGCTGGTAACTACAAGTTGTGTTTTTTTCCCTTAACTGAAGTCTAGACCATTTGTTCCAGGCTCAGCAGTGAGGCAAAACTCACCTCTGCCCAGAGATGTTCTACTGTCCCTCATCTTACACAAAGAAAGCTCCCTTCTGACCTCTAGTCCCTTCTATCACTAGCACCTCTTTCAGACAAGATACCACATTGCCTCTGTCTAAAGTTTGAGGCACGAATCCCTGACCTCGTATTACCAGAAACGAAAGTTACTGCTATGAAGTTAGTACATGTAAAAGCTATTGACTTGCTTCTGTGACCAAACCTCCAAGCTGGATTCATATGTGGCTGGGAAGTTGACTGTCTAATTGGTCTATTAGGGTGCAAATGTAACTACTTAGAAAGAAGCATGACATACGATAGCCCATACCTCCAAACATTGAGCAGCACAACAGCATGCAGCATTGGAGAAAAGCACATATATATTTTTCGCGGAGAGATTTTATTGTTAGATGTCAGGTTGACTCTGTGAATTTGGCATTGCAAAAAGGTCTTTGCCTAACCTTTGACCTCAGTTTAGATTTTTTGGGTGAAAGAGTGAAACAAAACCTCTGAAGATCTGCTGCATTAGAATTCAGAGCTCAGTTTTACAGCTTGGCATACAGTACCACTTGTGTATTTCGCATAGCTGCAAACAATGATGTTCATTGTGCATGGATGTATTAGTGATTTGGCTGGTTTGTACTGTAACTACCAACACCAACAATCCAAAACACAGGCAGTTCAAATTTTTCTCCCTGCTGCCACATCTATTAATATTTCTCTAGTGCAAATCTCTTTATTCTTAGATCAGTGTTGCAGTCAGGAATTCTGCAAAACAGTTATCTTTCTCATTAACCAGTACTTACCTTTGCTTTCATTAAGAGATGCACTGATTCAGTTTCTTCTCCTGGACAGAAGGGCCAGAGCCACTTTAAACAGCCCCACTGCAGCACAGTCAGAGATCAATGGAACCCATCCTGCATTTGAATGAATTCCCTCATTACAGCCTGTTCCTGCCACATGCCCCTGTGGATTTGGAAGGGTGGCATGATGGAGGATGGAAAGTAGACCCCATATAGAGCACCAGTAATGTGCAGGTCAGTGGATGCTTGACTACCGGTTTTCTGTCCTTCTTCACATGGTATGGGCTTCAACATAAGTGCAGCAGGAGGAGCATCTTCCAAGTCTGCCAGAACAGTTAAGTAGAGCTTTCACCATGGAACACTACACCCCCACCTGCCACATGCAATTTAACACAACACTGGAGGCTTTAGGACCCTGATAAATGGTTTGTTCCTGTCCTGCTTTTAACCAGCATGGAGTTAAATTTCCTCCTAGTAACTATGCAGTGCTGTGTTTTTTACTCTAGTCTGAAAACAGTGCTGGCAACACATGGATGTTTTTAATTGCTACTGAGCAGTGCTTACTTTGATCAAGGACTTTTCAGTCTCATGCTCTGCAAGTGAGGAGGGGCACGGGAAGTCAAGAGGAAGCAAAGACAGGACACCTGACCCAAAGTAGCCAAAGGGGTATTCCATACCACAGCACATCATGCCCAGTGTATAAACTGGGGGGAGTTGGCCAGGAGCCACCAATTGCTGCTCAGGTTGGGTTGGGTATCAGTTGGTGGGTGGTGAGCAATGCTATTGTGCATCACTTCTGTTGTTCAATTGTTTTGTTTTACATCTCTCTCTTTTTGTTATTTTCCATTTCATTGTTATAATTAGTTATATTAGTGTTCTATTAAACCTTATTTTAATTATTAAACTGTCCTTACCTCAACTCATGGGTTTTAGCTTTTTTCCCAATTCTCCTCCCCAACCCAAGGTGGGACAGAGCAGGTGTGAGATATCAGCTGCATGGTACTTAGTTGCCAGCAGCCAGTCCCAGATATGGACAACCAAACTCTGACTTGCCTTGCAAGTTCTACTGGAAATTTCTCATGTTTATGCCGCATTTGAGTCCTGCTTAGCCCTTCTGCTGAACCTTAGTGAAGGACTTGGTGTGACCCTCATCCACAAGTGTAGAGATGGAGACAGATTTGTCAATTATCATTGGTTGGATAATTGAACAGAAAGAAGGAAAAGCCTCAGAATTAAGAATATCCTGTATCAGTAGGAGGAAGCAATGCTTTATACCATGATGAGCCACAGCTCTGTAAGCTGTTTCTCTGCAGAAAGGAACAGATTGGACTGTGAGTCACTCTGAAAATAGCACAGTCCTTTTATAATCTCAGAGCAACAGGTCTTCCACATATGAGTTATGACGTTACTGAAGGTATGTGCACAGAAAGTGCTTCGTTTCCCTTCTGCCATTCACCCACTCCCCTGGAAATCAGATAGCACAATAAACTAATGCAGTGGATAAAGATAAATTGGTTTCTATTTAGGGGCTAAATGGCACTCATATTCCGAAGCTGACTGGCAAAATACAAGAAACGAAACAAGCCCAAATTCCTTTCTTACATCCCTGTGGGTGATTGCCTGCTGCTATTGCTCTCTTTCCCCCAGCCATATTGCTTGCTGAGGTGGAACTATGGCTGAATATGCAGAGCAGAGATCCTGGCAGCTTCTTTACTGGACATGGAAACCGCGCTAATAAATATCATACCATCTTGTTTTACATCAAAAAGCATTAATCCTGGGGATGATTTCAGCATGTACCAGACAAAACTCTGAAGTTCCTGTGCCTGTTCCTTTTCTCACAGATTTGATATATAGCTATTTTTGGGTGCTGTGAGTTAACTGACCAAATTAGTGACAGTAGTTACAAAGCAACTTATTCTACATGAAGGCAGATCAAAAGACTGGGCTGAATACAAGGGCCATTCCCCAAACAGCAAGACTCAGCTGCATTTGGGAGTAATGAAACAGACCTACAACTCAAATCTGAGAAATCTATAGACAAGGATCCCTCTGTGGGAGACTAAAGTATCATTTTAGAGGGCAAGAGTTAGGAATAACCACGTTGTAGTTTTAAGACCTGTTTTCCTGTGAACTGTATTTTGTTCTGGGTAAAAGGACAGTTAGTTCTAACAGAGCCAGTTAGTAAGGAAAGTAGAAGCACAGATACTGCCAGTCCTCCGAAAGTGCTCCAGCCCAGGGCCTTATCTAGGAGTTGGAGAACAGCATGGCTTAATTTCCAGGAGAAGATGCCTTGAGCTGGAGCAGAACAGGAAGAGCACTTAGACTGTTTATAACTAGACATATATTTTCCTTTGCACCCTTTTCAGTTTGCCAGCTCTCCCTTGTCCCAGGGCCCAGGCTGTCAGAGATGCTGCACAGAAAGATAAAATGTTCATTGGTTGTTGTGGAAGCACTGACTGTCTTTCCAGGTCTGGAAGTTCTTGGGTTTCAAAGCACAGTAGGGAGAACTGTGCATGCACTTTAAAGGTAAAACCGTATGAGAGAAGCTGTAGAACCTAAATATACCATAATTAGGAAGAAAAAGGAAGAAAAAAAAACAAAAAGAGAAAAGAATTAAGAAAACTCTGCTTTTATATCTACTGTTTCTGGCCTCAGGACTACAACCAACCTGACCAGAGACTCATCCTCTCTCTCCCTCTGAAATCAAAAGAACAGACACAGCAGCTGATAGGGTCAGAGATGTCTGTGTCTCCAGCAGACAGAAATTCATACCTATCCTAAAGAATGCATGCACTGTTTCCTAAGCTGCCTTGTTGGTAGAATGCCATTCAATTTTACAAATGGCAAACAGACATTTACAACTCACCCAAAGTTTTGGAACCTGCAGCCAACTCCTCCCGTTGCCAGCCAGTCCAAACACATATTTTGTATTTGGCAATTCTTTGCCATTTTTGCCTTTCCAAAGGCCAAGAGCAAGCAAGCTCTGCTGTATGGTAAAATGTCTGGATCTCAGAAATTCAGACTAAACACCTTGTTGTAAATATCTGTATATCAAAAAAAGGAAGAGAAGATTTCAAACATTCACTTTTACAAATCCAAAGTATGGATAAGACCTATATGAATAGGGAAATGCAAGATTTGTACACTGTTCCTCCAGAGACAGAAGGAAGCCTGTTGTTAATCACAGCTGATCACCCATTTATGTCCCACGTTTTTGACAAACTCAGCAGAACACATCAAATATTCCTTTACTACAAATACAAACTCAAACCAGGACTTACTGCAAAGTGCATTGTGGAGACCACTGTATCTGTAGCATAATGGTTCAGTACAATACGTGCCCTTGTGAGGTAAGACCAGTTTTCCTTCGGTGTGCCCTCCTAACTTATCTGTAGTTAGAAGGTTAAGATGGACCTACAGCAGTCTTTGCTCTGGAAAGAGAATGCCACAAAGGAATACCTGCATTTTATATGCAGACTGCTGTTTAAGTGAGCCTATGAGACTACAGAAAATGTGGCTTTAGAATGATTTGAATACCAGAGAAGGATGAGTAAGGAGTGTCTTGGGAATAGAGCCATTAATTAAAAAATGAGGGGGGAAAAGGTCTTGGTTTTCATTAGCAATGTTAAACGCAATATATGTTTCTTACTGAAAATGATGATGTACACAACTGTATTGAGTGACCAGTAACCAACTGGAGTACAATAACTTTTGGGCCTGCTGTCTGTGCAGGGAGGAATTCTTTACATTGCAATATTATCACTCTTCATCTGTTTCAGGGTCTCTTTCTTTGGAGCTAAAAGCCCAGACTGATGTTTAAGATTATAATAATAATACTAATTAAAAAAAAAAATACAGTTTTTTTTTTTTCTCCTTCTTGGCTATTTCTCCATATTTTTAGGTCTGGAGGACTTTTCAAATCTGTCCATATCAGGAAAACATAACTTTGGCTCTTCATTTAATCTCATGTCAAATGGTATTACTGCAGTATGCGATCAGCCCAGGCTGCAGATGAGTTTGAAGCCATACAACAAAATGCTTTTCCTCAGTGGCTGGACACTTTTATAATCTAAATCAGGCTGCAGGTAAACAGCATTATTCTTTTCAAGTCATGCTTGATCAGTTCATTTGAGTATCAGCTGTATGACTGCTGGGGTTGGCAGCTGCTGCTTTGAGCAGTAAGTCATCCCACTTGGCTTACTCCAAGTTTTATCATAACTTTTTGCTGACAACAGACACTTCCAAGCCAAGCAGTTCTGTTTTGTCCAAAGTGCTTGTGTTTATATACTTTTGAATCCTGAGCAACTGCCGTGGCTTTTTTGCATGTTAATGAAAACAAAGATTGTACTTGAAAGGATCCTTTGGGTAGGAAAGGGAACAGTTCAGTTTTACTGAGCTTTTGACACAGATGGGGCTGTTAGGCCCTTTTGACAAAGCCAGCTATATATGAAAGGGGAGGCATTTGATGAAATGAGTGTTACATAGCCACAGTGTGACCCTCGTTTTGAAAGAGCTGTTGTACTGTCACAAATCTGCTGTGAATGGAAAAGAATCTTTTCAGGTGCTATTCCTAAAACTCCGAAGAATGTTAAATTGACTGCTTCTGGATTGTGTGGTTATGTTTTAAGGCTCTCTCCTATCTGCAGAATATTGAAAGCAAGTCTATACCAAAATTACATCTGGCCAAAATTGCTCTAAGGAATACACATGCTGCTTCTAATCAGCAGCTCCACCAAGGTGTTTTTTTTGTGTTTTTTTGTTTTTTTTGGGGGGGGGGGGGGGGGGGCTGGGAGGGAGGGGGAAGGTGAGGGGCAGAAATGGTGCCTTGAGCCTGTTGTGTCCTGCAGTAGATACTGATTCAGTTCTGTCTGCACAGCATAGTGTAAACTGAAGCACCTGATTTCCGTATGGGAAAAGCTGATGCTTCATTCTGAGCGACTCAGCTGACATGTTTTCACAGCTTCTTGGCTCTTCGTTGCTTGTTCAGCTTCCTGTATCTAAGTGTATGTACACTGAGACTCCTTATTGTCTGAACTTGCGAGCTGGTACTTTTAAAAATGGACTTCTGAGGTGTAGATGGAAGAATGTTTAAAGCACTCTTGTAAGCAAAATTCAGGATTTAGACAAACTTTTCCGAGATCTACCGCAAAGGAGCAGCGCCTGAAAACGTCCGGACTAACCTAAACGGGAAGGGACACACTGCCCTCTAGCAGCTGTCCTCTGCGCAGAGC